TTTTTTAGATACTTGGAATGTCAAAGCTGCACTATGTGATCATTTTATTTGGCATCAGTAAGCTTTGCAGTGTTTAAGCAATTTTCTGGTTGTTTTGATGTCACAGATCACAGAAGGCTTTTGTATAGTCATTCTCATCCGTCTTATTTCCAGCCACAGCAGGAAGCTGTTTTCAGAACAAACATTTACAACAACAAAAACACTAATAACACATAGAATAATGGGCAGCATGGTGTAGCAGTGGTTGGCACTGTCATATTCCAGTGTTCCTGGTCCAAACCTGTCGGGTGATGGGGCCTTTCTATGTAGACTTTGTATGTTTTACATGGATGGTTATTTTTCTCTGTATCTCAGCCCTGTGATGGACTGCAGACCTGGCCTCTCACCTCATGTCTGACCTCCGTCACCCTCGAAGGATAATAGATGGATTAACCCACCGTGTGCTACCTGCCCAGTAACAAACAGTCTGACAGACAGGTGTGAGAGTTCAAACACATTCAGATATTTTTCCTAGAACTGGCTGGTGGATGTTGGGTAATGGAACTGACACGTTAGACAGCCACCCTAAAGGTCTAAGGCTCATTTATGCTGCCTTTACATATGAAAAGAAATAAACAGCAGTCTTAAACTAAATAACCGTCACTGCCCACATACTTCAATGCGTCTTTTATGTCGGCATTGTTCTGAAGCAATAAATTCACTTGAGGGCATCGAGATTTCCCAGCAACAAGGTTGTAATAATGTAAAGGGACAAAAGTGGTCACATTGTAACTAACCCACAATGTCTGTACTTAAAAAGCTCCACTGGGGTTGAAATATCTTTCTCGTGTCCTCTAATTGGCTACACTGCTCCCCATGATTTCCGTGACAGGTTTTGTCTGTTTCGTCCATTTAAGCTTCCAGAAGACGCGCAGATAAATGAATTAAATGAATGCAGAGTACGGACAAAAGCTTTTTCCATTTTCATATAAGCATCTTACATTTAGCATAAATCGCCCTTAACAGATAGCTTACTAAATGTTCATTTTGTTCTTTTGCCCTCAAGTGTAACGACATAGTGCTAGCACTTCTTAAGTCGCAAGATTTAACTTTGATTCCTACAGAACCACTGTGCGGTGTGTCAGGAAATAATGTTTTGCTGCTTCAACCTGTGGCTTCCTGTCTCAACAAGGAAGTTCAGTATTTAGCCTTTATCAAAAGAGAGATTCCATGAGCAGAAATGATGGTTTGTAGCAACAAAGGAGGTATTGAAATGGAAAAACAAATAGTAAAACCCCGAAGTAGCCTCTGTGAGTCGGAGCTGAGTTGCAACAGATTGAGGCACCTTCACCTCGGCTGCATGACTCATCTCACTAATGGCTTTTCCATCTGCACCATTCCTCCCTGACAAGTGAAGACTCAGGGAAGCCCCGCCACCCCCACACCCTTTTCTCCTGACTGTGCCACAACAGGGCAACTCCTGTCGGAAATCCTTTGTGCAGCCAAATAGATTTTTTTGTCTGCAAACAGAAAGGTGAAGGCCAGTTGACCACTGAAATATATTAAGAGAAATGCAGTGGGTGAGGGTGGATTGAGGAGAGGGAGGTTGGATGCTGGCACGTGGACCCAACAAGGAGAAAGTTGGCTCTCATGTTCTGACCTCGAAGCATTCTCAAAAAATAATTGTAGATGTTTTTCTTCACATTTTTACACAGACTCTCTTGCACAAATCTAGGGTTTAGGTTTCTTGTGTCTATGTTTATCCGACATTTGAGCACAGGCATATATGTGTTGGTTCTGGTTGTTTGAGTGTTTAGCTGCCGTCTGCATTTACTTGCTTACTGACTCCCAGCGTGTGGCTCCAACTTGTTTTCTAGAATGTCTGCCACCGAGTCATGTACTGTATACCCACTAAACCCAGACAAGGTCGCCATCCCCACATTTCCACTCATTATCATTTTCCATGATTTCAGCCTGTGTTCAGTTTTATACATCTGTGCAGTCCAGACCTCGTTGCCTCGGACCACAGTGATTAATGTGGTTATCTTTGGGAGAAAATAGCAGAGGTTAGAAAGACTGAGGACTCACAGTTTTCGCTCGGATAGCATCTGCCATTCCCTGAAAGCAAATGCCAATTTAGGAAACCCTCCATTCTCATTATTTGATGCCTAGGTTCGTCTTGGCTGTATATGAGAGGAGAGCGTACCAGTTCAACTGTTGAGCAAAGCAACGTATACCCCCCTTCCAGCCAGACTCCAGCTCCCTCCCCTCAGCCTGCACTGTCACGTAGCACAAGAATGTGGGTTTGGTCTATGGGAGAAGAAAATGTTTATTTAATCCCTGCAAAAGTCGGAGAGGGGAAGCCAGGGGCTCTGTTTTTGATGAAATACTGACTTTTACTTTGATGCTGTAATTACTTTTCTGTGTTTTTTGATAAAGCAGTCATTCCTGATTGGACTATCAGTTACAAACATGATGAAAAGTTGTTGAATTGGTTAAACATACGTCATTAGAATCAGAACATAGACCCCAAAATCCTCTGTGTCTCCAGCAGTGTGATGCAAACATAACACAGGCTACATATGTACAGTAGCTATAGAAAACGTGTGCGACAGGATGTAAGGGGATACCCTGAGTACTTCAGAGGCCCACAGGAGAACAGGGGCCCACTTGAAGGCCCCATGAAATGAAAACTACATTTTCTCTGTGTTAATCCTTTGTCTCTGTGTCAATTGGTAATTCATTACATATGTAAAAAAAAAACAAAAAAAACATCTAAATGTCTGTCTTCCCTCTTCCTTTAAATGTTTTCAACATTTTGATGAATCATCCTGCACTCTGGGGTGTTTGCTCATTCTGCGTCCAACAATAATACTTTCTGGAATTTTTACCTCCCACCACATGACTATAGATCCTGCCAGGGACCCATTCTGTCTGATTCATCTGTTGAATGTACAGGCGTAAGGGAAGGTGGTGGATAGAGGTCCTCGAAAACAGAGAGCAGGCTGTCGTCATGACTTTCCATGTTGAGCTGCTATAGTCGCTGTCAACTCTGGAGCAGGGTTAGGACACAATTTAAGTCTTGGCAGCAGCGGTACTAGTGGTTTAGACTTTATACTTTATAAAGTTTTTATGCTAAACTTGTTGGTAAATATTTGTCTTTGTACATCCAGCAAACAAGATACAAGGAGATCATTATGTATTAGTGTTTTCAGCCACTTGACTAGTTTAATCTGATATTCATCCACCTTTTACCTCCATTTTGCTCTCCTCCACTTTCTGAGTGAAACACCTGCTTCCTGTTTCCCTGTGTTCCCCAACGTTTTGTTTGTTGTAAAACCAAATAATGAGAAATGTTAAAAAAGAAACTCCATACACCTAAGGAGTACTGCAGTTAACTTTTTACATGAAACATAGTCATCCAATGTGATAAAAAAATATGGATTTATGCAGTTTAATGTCTTTACAAAGCATTTAAAAAATATCCATGGTTGCATTTGTTTGTGGGAGTATGCAAACCATACAGTGCACCAATAATGTTATTGACTGAAGGCCAATTTACTCAGTTGGTGAAGAATAGGTTGAGCGTAGCCGTGAACAGTAATATGCACAAAAGCCGGCTGTGGCTCAGGAGGTAGAGTGGGTTGTCCGCTAACCAGAATGTCAGAAAATCGATCCCCCATTCTACATGCAGAAGTGTCCTTTGATAAGATACTGATCCCCAAATTGCTGAACCACAAAGAGCAGTGCATGACTGATGTATGATAGAGAAAGTGCTGCACACAGATGCACTGTATGAATGTGTGTGTGAATGGGTGGAGACAAAACTGTACAGTAAAGTGCTCTGAGTGGTCATCAAGACTAGAAAAGCTCTATATAAATACAGAGCGTTTCCTATATACCTACCTAGAAATAAAACCACAAACTACAGTGTTTGGCTGATGCCGCCTGCAACAACTCTGATTGGTCAACTCCATGTCTCCTCAGTGGCCAGATAAGCTCACAAAAGTCAGTCTCCATCTTTCTCAATAAATTCAATGCTCCTACACACTCTTGTTCTTTTTGCTAGGGTCAAACATGGCTCACCACTGTCCTCCTCTGTTTTGAGCAGCTAAACTGTTTGTAAAGACCTTCTACTGGAATATCTTTGGTTTTAATTAAGTGTCCCTGCTGTGTTCCTGTTTGTACTTCCAGGTATCAGTCCCAACAGATAAAAAAAACCCTAATACTGTTTTAAGCAAGTCATTATTTATCACTTAGAATAGTCTATGTTAATGAATGGAACGTTTTGTGGTCTGTCTAAGTCTTGCATAATTGTCCAAGGCCTGTACTGCTTGTGCCTGGTGCCGATGTTGATGTGGACGACGTGCAGCGGTTGGAAAGAAAAGGTCTTTTGGTAATCTTGTGCTGCACGTGTGCTCACTCTGCTGTTCGTGCATTTTTATCTTTATGGACTGCTTTCCAACAGCACGCTAAAATGTGCTTCACATATAACACTTGAAACACTTCGATACCTGTTGCTTTTAACGCCAAAGACAGGTACAGGGCGGCCGTGTCACAGTGATTAGCGTTAGAAGGGGATTTAGTGTAAAAGTGTTTGAGCAATCTGGAGAAGATTTACAGGCAGCGTGCAGAGAGCTGAGCTGCTGTGTTACATACTGGACTGGGGAGGAGGGGTGGGGGTTTCAACATCTCTGATTACATATTATGTAACACAGGAAGTGCTGTGCAGATGTGATGTATAGCGTGTTTACATCACATCAGATTTCAGAGGTCTGTCAGGTCTTGTCAGGGTCACAGCATCTGAAAAGTGTTGTAGAAGTGTATCGATTATGTCGTACCCTAACCCTAATGAATGTCTGTGGCAGCTTTGTCAAACCATTTTAAAAATATGTTTGGCAATGATTTTCACAGAACCACTAGGACATACTTGTCACAGAAAATAGTTTGCTTTCTATTTCTACTTCTGCGATTGCTTTTTTTTTTACCAACATGCACATTTCTCTAAATATCATCCACAGAACCTTGATATTCAAGTAGAGGATGCCCGCATACGACCGATCCTGTCGTCGTACCGCAAGCGTATCCCTGTAACAGAAGGCTACGTGGAGGTGAAGGATGGCGGCAAATGGAAGCAGATCTGTAACAATGAGTGGACCCAGTTTAACAGCAGAGTCATCTGTGGCATGTTTGGCTTCCCCGGGGAGAGGAAGTACAACGCCAGAGTTTACAAGTAAGTGTTCCACCGTGGTATGTGTGGGTAATTCAAAGAGGAGAGGGGGATTTTGAGCCTCATTCACTAGTGGCCACTTGAACAGAAATTCAACAGAAATTCATGATACTATCCTAGTAAGAATGTGAGCAACAGCTGAACGCTGTAACCAGTTGTTTTGTTGGATAATGGTGAAATCTGGCTCCGTCAAAGCAAAACATTGACCACAAATTTAGGTAACACTGCTCCCCAACTCTGGCCTCAGTCTAAAGTCATGATGCAAGATTTAATACCTCCATCTGGTGCTGTGTTTTCACAACGCCTTTTCCAAATTTGAAATTGATTTAATTGTTCTACACCTCAAGTAAACATGGAGCCGTTTTCTGCTTGTTGACCTCATGTCAGTGTAACTTTTACACTTGTAAATGAACATATTATGGCTCTACTGCCATCAACATACAATTTGAACTGTTAAGATGTTGCATGAATATGAACTTGGAATATATGTATCAACAATTTATCTCTCGTCTTTCAGTTAAAAGATACACATTTTTAAAAACTTGCCAAAATATATAGAACTGAACCCTAAAAATATGGTGTCTCTATAGCCTCTACCCAACACAGTAATGAATCTGTAAAAACTAAGGTTATAAAATTCAAACAAAGGGGAAAAGGTCAACACTTGAATTGTTTTACCAAGACGACTACTTAAAATGGATTTAGATTAAAGTGTTAAAATACACTGAATAACCCAGAATCATGTGACTTCCAATGTGTGGATTACATGTTTGACATCAAGCCCTGACTCCTGTTTGTACAACATCGGTGCATTCCACAAAGCTGTGGTAATGTGCAAGTGACCGCTGAGAGATCTGAATCTTGCTTACATGAAGATGACTGCCGCCAAATGGCCACAGGTTAATGGCGGCGCTCCATGAAACCTCCAGTGCTCCAGTAATCCTTAAATTAAATGTTAAGCCTGAGCTGGACGTTTCCGCTGCTTTAGGTAACCACAGCAGAGAGAGGCAGCTCCTTAACTTTACATCTTCTCGTCAGCCCACTCCAGCTTTAACCAATGAAATATGCAGCGTGGTTTTACAGGAAGCTCCGGTCTCTCTCAGGCTCGTTTGTTCATTTCTCAGTTTGATAGCTCTGCCCATTTCTTGGTGCCCAGTTAACAGAACTAATGCGGCACAGTCAGCCAAATGCTATTTTAGATGGATTTACTGATCATCAGCAGGCAACTTCTCAGAACTTCTCTGAAGCTACAATAACAAAACCAGGTTATTTTCTGATCAAGATTAAGTCTAAAACATAGTTTTTTAACATTATATTTGTCTCATGGTCGTCTTCTGAAATTGCTTCTATCATTACTTTACTGCAGTGCCTTACTTGTTTGTTTGTATTGCATTATGCAGATTTTAATAGGGCCCTTATGTTGCTGGTGCAAAGGCAACTGCCCAAAAGACTAAAGATTAGACTGTACATGAAAGACTGTAACATGCAGTCTGCAAAATGTGCTCTGATATCTGTATCTGCTGCAATAATTGTTTAAGGTGTTTTGTTTAAGGCCCAAAAAAGTGCAGTGTTGAATTTGGTGTGATTTGGAACCGTGATGTGTACAATATTAAAAAGCTTTGAATGAACGGGCAGCCAGCACTCTGCAGCGGCAGCATTGGCCTCTGGGGTCTGTGAACTGACCTGTGGCAGGTCTTTTCTTGCCGCGGCTCAATTACTGCAGGTCACTTTTAGAGTTTCAGAAAGAAAAGCTGCAAGCAGCATCACCACAGTCCAAGCAAACAGCCCATTCCAAACAGGCAGGTTTACAACAGGCACTGCACAAGTCTATCTCAAGTAACACAGCAAACAAGCCGACCCCCAAAATCCATGGGTCAAGGGTCAGCACTGCTACCCTGCTTTTTTGTGTCTTTTGTCAAACTTTTAAGTGCCTGGTATATATTTCTGTCTTCTCAACTCTCAGACCAGAGATTGTAGCCAAGGCTCTCTGTTATAAATGTGCAGTATCCAAGCCCAAGATGACTTCAGGAATGTTGCTTGAGTTATGTCCTCAGACTTGACAAAGCTGCTTCAGGGCCACAGACGTTCATTAGGGTTAGGTTACAACACAATCAGTACATGTATGAAACAATTTGTAGATGCTGTGACCCCTGACAAAGTACATGAATTGACATATATGTAAAATGAGTGTTACACATGATGCTCAAGTTGATCAAAGCTGGGTTTTTTAACAGAAGTTGGCACAGGTCAACGTTCACAGCCTCAGCACCAGTTTATTCAGACACCGCTCCATGTGAACACTGCTGATAGGCATCACAGCTCTGTGCAGATTGCAGAGGAGGTAGCAGAGTCTTCTGGCTGACTCAGATCATTAGCCTTGGACGGCTCCCAGTCTGCAGCTTCCTACTCGCCAGCCCCCAAATGACAAACTAATGCTGCCTCTGTCCACGCTTTAATCCCTTTTTTCACGCACACCTCAGACATGAGACACAAGTCTGTGACATGCCGATCTGCAGACAAGCCTTATTAAATACATAATATGGGCTCAGTAATAATTAGACAGCAGGATATTAGCATCAAGGCAGTGTCATTAAACCTGTGTAATTCAAGCGCCAACCTTTTCCTTTTGGTATTAATTACACAATATGCTAATGTAATTAGCATAGATCTTGGTTCATGGTGTCAAGATACAGTCTGATATTAAACTAATAATTCCAGCTTGAATCTTGATGAATGTATCAATTATAAGTTGATTCACTGGCATTCCAGAAGTGAGCAAATTCAACTGCAAGCTCAAGTTAATGAAATCACTCATGAGTTTCTCTGAGATGAAGACTTGTAATTAGCATGAATTATTAAAACTTAATTATAGATAAAACACTTTGTTTTTAAAGCAGCATTATGAGCAAAGACCTACTTAGCTGAACATTATATAGGTGTAACATGAAGCCTACCAAGCTGCGATGCTAAAGTAAACAGTTCCCTGTATACACACTCAGTAGGCTGAAACATTCAGAAACATTAACCTTCATTTGGAGTCATATACCTATAGATCTTCTGCTCTGTCTATGTCTGTGTGTCTTCAGTGTGCTGACAGTGAGCTTACATTCAGTTTATCAGAACTTTTTTTGTCAAGGTTTCAGCTGAAAGCAGGGATGAGCTGGATGGAGTTAACCCAACCGTTAACCAAACCAAATCAATCACAGGGTTTCTGTGCAGACTTAAAAAGTCTTAAACAGTCTTAACATTCAATCATCTGCATTTCGGGCCCATGCTTAAATTTAGGTCTTCCATACACTCAGGTTAGTCTTGATTTTATTTTAATGTTCATTTAACACTTCTTACATGTGGTTCCTGAAACATTTTTTTGTGGCATGCACATTTACACAAAGAAGAACAATGGAACAGATAACTGATGGTCTATAAACACCCTGGTCAGAATTGATCTCACTCGGCTTGGCCATGAGAAAGATTGTGGATACCTACTGTCTCTGCCTGAAGTTTGCGAGATAACGCAGCCTCATGAGATTTATTCTCTACTATGCTACTTCACTTTATCTTCAATTCTGGGGAAGTGGAAGTAATTCTGGGATATTTTTTCATATCTTTTGAACCTGATGTAGGTCTTACATTTGATTCATTATGGTCTTAAAAAGGCCTACATTGAACTTGTTGAACCCTGCAGAAAGTCTGCAGTTACTGCTCCTCTGTAGAGCGGAAGAGAATGTGTTTGATCTCTGTCGTAACATTTTTACTGCTGAAAATCCTCTACTTGTCTGCTGGTGATGGATCATGATGGCTGATCATGGACTATATGATTACAACAATATGCTTACTCACACAATGCTCACAATAGCTCCTCCATTTCAATTGTCTTTGCTGCTCCTTCGTCTCTTTCAGACATTTTCTTATAAATAAATACTTAAAACATTGACACACTTGTCCATTATGCTGAAATCAGTTTCTTCTAATCAGTGTTGTAAATACTGTTATTTTGTTGATGTACCTTTGTCTGGAAGAGGTATCCCTCTGAGGTCTCTAGGTTTATTCTTATTTTGGTAGTTATTCCTCACTCCTGTTGTGGGTTAAGAACAGAGGATGTCTCACCTTGTTAAGCCCTATGAGACAAATTGTGATTTGTAAAATTTGATTGATCGAGTGATCGATTTAATAAGCCTAATTGAAAGTAAAATACCTCTTGTCCCACAGAGAGTCAATTCATCTCCTCTCTCTCTCCTCCCTCTGTCCAGAATGTTTGCTCGCAGGAGAAAACCCACATACTGGGACTTTGCGGTCAACTGCACTGGCAACGAAGCCCATTTGTCCAACTGTAAACTGGGCCGGGCTACGACGCTGAAGTCCAACGACTCCTGTGCGGATGGGTTGCCTGTGGTGGTGAGCTGCGTGCCCGGCAGAGCCTTCGCACCGGCGTCCATGACGGGATTCAGGAAGGCCTTCAAACAAGAGGTAAAATCCTTAATGGAAATGACTCACTCTGTGTTAGACAACTGGCAAGAAATATATGTTCAATAAAGACCTTCATTTATTTTTATTTTATTTTTTTAATTTCATTATCATTTATAATATTCTGAAGCTGGAATTTACACATTTGAATTGTTTGTTGTTATTATACTGTCATAATGAAATGTGGGTCTTTTTGTGATTATATTATTTATTACTTAAACCATAGACTGTAAATAAAGGTGGACGATGCGTCTCTGCTTCCTCTCGCTGAACAAAAGGGAAATATCCCACATACAGCTGCTGCCATTTTGCAGTGTCTACGACATTTAGAGCCAAAGTCTAATGATGCACACATGTGAATCAGACTGAGCTGTCAATCACGACTATTTCTTTACCATTAAATAACTAATTAGAACCAAACAAAAACACTTAAACGTCTATCAGTGTGAGCTACTCAGAGGTGTTGGCTTCATTTTTGGGAGCTCTAATGTCATTGATCTTTATATACAGTCGATAATTTACACAGACATGAACAGAAATTCTGCACGGTACTGCCCAGTCTTTGACACACTTGTCTATGAACTCTGTCAGTAGACCGAAATGATAAACAACGCTGATACAGGAAATGACTGCAGCGGTTCACTTCAGTTCACTGGCTCTGATGTCGAGGGTGGAGGCTTAAATGTTTTACCGAGACATCCAGACACTGGTGTTCAGAACACAGTGTCACTCTGTAAACTGCAGCTGTAGCCGCTCCGGATGTTTTTCCGCTAAATGATTTATCATCTCTGGGTTGTCGCCGATGACATGATGTGGGGACATTCTTGGGACAGTCAACATGTGTCTCCAGACAACAGCTAACTTTTCCTCTCCGCAAATGACCAGGAAACCAAGAGGTCCAGAGTCAGTGAAACCGAATCATGAGTTTTATTACACATTTACACTGCGCATACTTTAGATGAGTTCACTTAAACTTTGTCCAGCGCTGTGTGGTTGATAGTTGATATTTCAGATGGAATTGTAAAAGTGCTAAATCACAGACGCTGACGGTTTTTTTAAATGCTCCACTTGGATCTGAAATGCCAGGATGGAAAATATTCTCGTTCTTTCCTCCCCTCATCGTCCTGTTTGCCAAAATGTATTCATCTTGCAGAAGTGGCAGCCGAGGAGATTTCCTCTTAAAGATTTGTTTTGGTTTTTTGTTACCTTAGCCTGACAGCTATTTTGCATGTAAAAAAACACTTTGTGGCCAAAAGTATTTCAACATGAATGTATTTTTGTGTTCTTTTGGTATGTGGGTCAGGCGATAACAATTCATCTTGCATCATCCTTTCTTTATTTCTCAACTCAAAGGGATAGTTCACCGAAAAATGAAAATTCACTCATTATCTACTCATTATCGACTAAAGCAACAGAAAGAAACCATAACGTGCCTCCATACTGCTCGTGTTATGTTTTCCAAGTGTCCGCGATCCCCAACATTCCTTTTGACTCTAAACCGTGTTATTTACACCATGTTTTTAGCGACTGGAAGTGGCATTGTTAGTGGACATATCGATGTGAACGAACACCCCGTGTGCGCGATGTTACAGTTTGTTTGTGGGTATGTGAACATGCCTCCGAGGAGCATATCAGAGAACGTGTTAAGGTGTGAAACTTGGTGTAAATGAGGCCGTTTCGAGTCGAATTCGAATGTCGGGGCTTGTGGACACTTGGATGACGCCACAGGAGCAGTATGGAGGCATGTTGTGTTTTTTTCTGTTTTATTACATCTGAGAAAAGGTCCCCGTGACTGAAACACTGTTTACCCATGATACAAGATTGTTTTGTGGACTCAAACACTTCACCCACCCCTCCATCGTCATAGTGGTGAGTAGACGATGAATTCATTTTAATTTTTTCAGTGAACTATCCCTTTCAGTCGCACTGGTAATATTTGTCCTTGTTTGGGTAAGAAACATCTTTACTAACTGAAGCATAATATTTGAAACAGCAGTGAAAACATGGTTTTCCCAGTTTGGCGAAGAACCTGCCCGACCTGCACAGGCTTGTCCTTGTGACCTTCCATTACCTTTTACATTTGATTTGATTTGATTTGAAATTATATGAAATGGGATGAACACGAGCGACAAATGTGAGCCAGGTCTTGTCACCAAAACCTACATTCATCTTTCACTAAAAGGTTCTCATGGCTGACTGGGAGGAAATCCTTGCAGCCAAGCTCCAAAGTCTGGGGAGAAAACCCTGGAAGCTGAAGAAGCTCATGAACAGTCATCCATGGGTGTAGCGGTTGGGTTTTCACATATTGCGTCATGTGCTGTGTGTGTGTGCAATAATAATGATGATTCACCATCAGCTCCAGGGAGAGGAGCTCAATTCTGCTCCTGAATCTTGACCTCTGACCTCACCTGTGGGTAGAAGGAGTTTTTCTCAAAGCACACTGAAAAGGTCTCAAGGGTTCTGAAAGACAGGAAACTAGGTTTTGACAAAAAAGAAAGAAAAGGAAAAAAATAGTTGTCTTCTTGATGGAACCATTAAACTGAAAATGAATATCTGTCTCCGTGACTCCATCCATGTTCAGTGCTGATGAAGGAGCCTTCCTGCTCTCTGTCACGTTCCACAGCTGAGCTCCGTGCTTGACATCACGTCCCACAAATCTCCCACCACACTCAGACCGTCTGACTCAAAGCATTTTATTACTTAACCATTTGGAAAAAGCATGTCTGATAAAACAACCTACAGTCTGTATCAGACATCACATATTCTGTGAGTATGTACGCTTACGATACATTCAGTACAATCTATGCTTCAGATCATATTGGCTCATTATTTTTTTACATTCCTCAAGTTTATCAGGATGTTTATTCCATAAAGAAGGTAAAACATTATTTACATGTTTCCAAAATCAGGATTAGAAAGTGCTTTTGAGTAATAACATAATTTCAATTATACTAGGTTTTATTAAATCTTACAAATACGATCCAGAAATGCAACAAAATTCTCTCATCTGCGAAGTTAGAATCAGCAAAAAATGATTGATAAAGTATCAAAGTGAATTGTTTTGTAGGATTATGTCACATGCCGTGGTGTGTGATGAAATTAGGTTTGTCATGTTGCTACCACTACATGGAAGATGAGGAGGTGGACAGTGGGAGTGCTGGTTTGTTCCAGAGGCCACACATTAAGACGTCTGGGTTTTACGCTGTGAATACAAATAGTAGCAAGTCAGATAAAACTGTGCTATTAATGTGTTTACTAGTAAAATTAAACATTTCCAGTTTGTCTAAACAGTTAATGGGAGAACCACATTAATGGCATGTTCTATAAACATGAAGCCACCCAGCCTGCTGCCTCGGCTCCCTCTTCAGAGGGAAAAGTAGACGTTCCAAATGTTCAGCTGAGTCTGTCATTTAGGAAAAGACCAGAATAACTTGAATATGTGGTTTGAGGATTTGAACGTTTCAGTTTTTAACGGTGTCTCTATTTTTTGACCTCTTCAGCAAGTGCTGGTTCGTCTTCGTGGTGGGGCCATCGTAGGCGAGGGCCGCGTGGAGGTGTTGAAAAACGAAGAGTGGGGCACCATATGTGATGATAACTGGAACCTGCTGTCTGCCACCGTGGTGTGTCGAGAGCTGGGCTTCGGTACGGCCAAGGAGGCTCTGTCTGGAGGCCGCCTGGGACAAGGTGCGGTGGTTTTATGTTTTATGGTTTTATTCATGCCAGAGAAGTGAGAGAGTCTTTGTTTCCAGCCTCTTCTAACTGCACATTTTAGGAATTTTTAAGAGCTTTGAATGAATGCACAAAAACAAGCCTGCAATCCAGGATACAGTGCTTCTCTCATGCCCCCTCCAACTCCACCACAAGCCCACTTCTCCTGTGATAATTAGCTGCATAATGCAACCGATCAGCAAAGAATAAAGACATGAAATGTCAGCAGAGCGCTCGTGTTTAGAAAACTTGAAGAAACATGAACAGACCCTGTTCAGACCTTGTATTAACATCCGTCCTGATTGAGTGATCAGATCATTCAGACGACATTAGGAGGTGGTCTGGGACATATGATGGACCTCATGTGACGTCCTCTGACTGGCTTCAGTTTAAATGTAAACTTCTCAATGACCTTATTTTGATTTCATCCTCACAATATCAGCATTGATTACTATATAATTATTGATGCTTTTTTATAAATTGATCAAATCTTTCTTCATACCTGAGCACATTCATTTATTCATTCATTCAGCCCCTCCTGACTCTGCTCCCTCTCTTTCTCTCTCTCTCTTGCTTGCGCCGACACACAAACACACATCTGACACATCTGTAAACTGGGTAAAAACAATAGTATTTGGTCTTCACAGAGCGGTTTATTTGCATATAGAGCGGAGGAAGTGAGATCCGACCACAAGTGGTCACAGGAGACACATTCAGGACACATTTTAGTGCTGATGCACGTACTTAATGCTGTCACTTAATGTGTGATCGGATCCCTCAGGACAGATGTTATTTGGATGTGAAAATGGACAACATGGACATGAAACAATCCCATGCCACTGCTCCCATGTAAACTGTATACATGACACGTGATGGAAGGTTAGGACTGTGTAGCCAAACCAAGCATTTCATGCAGCAGTTCTCTCCGTTAAGCTTGTCCTCCTCCCATCAGCCCTTCGTGCCACTGAGCAGGGGATGATGAACTCACCGAGCTGATTTAGCTCAGTGAACAGGATTAGTTACTTTGTGCAGGTCAGTGAGGATGGGAATCCATCCCTGAGCTGATATCAACTCAGACATCTCTCTGTGAGGAAGTATGAAAACTCCTGTGAATTACGTTTTGAATTTGGTCAGTGCACTGAAAGAGGGAACAGAGAGTCGAGGCTCAGCGGGGCTGTGGACAGAGCCTGTGGAGAAACATGTTTGTACTGAAAACATAAACCTCTAGCACATTATTCTGCTCGGATGCTGCACGGCTTGTTTGGATTGAATTGGTCGTGGGGGAAGTTTTTATTCAACATTAAAACTGCATTCTCATTTGGCCACGTGGTGGTCTGTATGTTTAGACTGTGGCCAAGTGTGACACTGGTGTAGTAGGAGTTAGAATGATTGAGACAGCCAGAGCTGGTTTGGGCCTCGTACATTTCGTTGATTCAAGTTTCATTTCATAAACAAAACATAAAATATATGGTTATTTTATTTAATTTAAACAAAGGCGTTTAATGGTCAAATGAGGGTTTTTACAGACTAGGTTTAAGATGTGCATGTATCTTATTTTGAAATGTGTATGTGGAGGTGAAGGGGCTGGGAGAGCACCTGCACCACTGAGGATCAGTCAGCGCAGGTGAGAGCTGTTAGCTGATTGAGCCTCATGCTTGAAAAGGCAGCAGTGGAGCTGCCTCGACACACTAGGGGAAGGGAGCACTGAGCAAGAGTTTATGTTGGTTGTTTATGTGTGACTAAATAAGATGTTGCTGAACAGTAAATGGTTTGACTGGTTCTGTAGATAAAGTTTGTTCTTACTGATGGTTTGGAAACAGCCTACGAGAAGACACTCCTTTTATTGTCAAGTTATTTTTCTAATTGAGCAGCCTCACTTTATAGTCTCCTCTGACGACAACCCAGATTGCACCAGTGTGGTTATATCCCTTGCTGTGTCACTGTTAGAGAGTTTTACAGCAGGGAAAGTGGGTTTGGAAGCTGGGACCCCCACCCCAACTAAAATGTGCCACTGACCCTCTCTCTGAATGACACGCTCAGCAGATTCCTCTGTGATATACGGTGTTTGAAAGCCTGAGCTCACCTGTCAGCAGAGCTTCCACGTAAAAAGTTGTTTTGCTCTTCATAACAGGGACGTGCTGTACGGTGCTGCTCATTCCAGTGATATGAGACATGGAAAATGTTCCTTCTCCGGAATCGTTTTCCATCATGATTTCTCATCAGTGGCTCTCTGTATCCTCATGCAGAAAAACAGGCCTGATGGAAATATTACAAAAAAAAAATCTGATACTTTATAGTAACTCTATATTCTGGGAATACACCGATTTGTTTTCTTGCTGAAAAATATATGAGAACATTAATGTCACTGTCCTGCACGTGTGGTGAATAAAAAGCTAAAGATATTAGCATATATCTCAGGTAACTTGCTGCTAGGCTATATTTTTATAGTGCACTCGTGGTGTCGGAAAAATGTGACAGAATAAATCTCAACTGCAATATAATCGCTTCAAGTTTTGTTGATGGCAAATTCATTAATGGTGCGTATTCACATATTGCATATCATTATTTTGCTAACATTTATTTTGTAATATGAGAGTGGCCGAGATTAGTTGGAAGAGTTTTTAATTAGCTCTAATGTTGATAAGAAGTCAGTGGTTTCAGGAAATGAACTGGGACAAAGTCATACATCACACACTTCTTTATAGCGTTCATGTTGTTTCCACATTTAAATCCAAAAGCACATGAAAACACCAAAGTTGGAAGAACTGCTTCCCAACTGTGGAAGCGAAACCATCCTAGCAGCTTGTGAATGCATCATTACTTACAGACATGAAAGTGGGATCGGTAGTCTCATGTAACTGTCATAGAATAAAAGGATTTTCCTAAATATCCTCAAATTAAGTTTTATTTTCATTTAATATTACATTTTTGATTTGATATCAGAGCTGTCAGACGCAACACAGACATTTATCAGATATCTCTTGTTTTGTCTTCTCAGTTTCAATGGGAAACAAAGAAAGAAAGAAAGAAAGAAACTCAAACACTCTCTTGAAAACAGCTTATGTTGTGTATGTTTTCCAGGCATGGGCCCGGTGCACATGAACGAGGTGGTGTGCTCAGGGTTTGAGAAATCCATCACAGAGTGTTTCTTCAACAAGGAGGCTCTGGGCTGCAGCCACGAGGAGGATGCAGCCGTCAGATGTAACATCCCTGCTATGGGCTTCCAGGAGCAGGTCAGTCTCAGCTTGGTTTGCATCAAACATGAGTATACTCCAACTGAGCCTGCATGGACTCGACTAACAAATACACCAAATCTCTCATGGCTGCAGCTGCGTCTGAGCGGAGGTCGTAACCCCTATGAGGGCCGTGTGGAGGTGATGGTGGAGAGAAACGGCTCTCTGGTGTGGGGGACTGTGTGCAGTGAAGGCTGGGGAACCATGGAGGCCATGGTGGTGTGCAGACAGCTGGGCCTGGGTTTCGCCAGCAACGCTTTCCAGGTACGAGTCATGTTGCTCCGTTTGGGTGGATATCACCCTCTTGTGTCACCCCCTCATACATCACATTATTTTATATTTTATTATTTTCTGATATTAATATTATTTTATTTTATTAAAATTCCTTATAAATGTATAAGGTTCATATGTCACTGTGAATGACATCAGATGTGAGTTTGGTGACACACAAAAGCACAAAGAAAAAGAAACCGTCAAACTTGCTTCTGTGCAGTCTGGACTGTAGACGTCCATCTGCCAGTGTGTGGAGTCGGAGTGAGAGAGCCGCTCTCTGTCTTGACTCTGCATCCACAGGGTCTCCACTGTCTGCCAGCTGCTCTCAAATGACCCCAGTCAAGCCAAGAAAAACCCAAACTCCAAGTTCCTAAACATAGTGTGTAGGGCAGAGCAGTGGACGTGGTGTAAAAATAAACCTGCCACATCCCGTCTTTCATTTCAGAGGCTTCTCCTGATTTGATCTACATCAGTTTGTTCTCATATTCTCTCTTTTCCTCTGCCCTCCTTCTTTGGTCAAGCTCAACTTCCTTTTTTCCTTTCATACTTCAAACTGCCTCAGCATCAGTTAGTCGTCTGTTTTGGTTCACAGCCAGTGAGCTTGGATCTTTGGTGTAGATAAAGGTCTACAGGGAGTTGAAGGGCAGTGTCACAAAATGTCTGGTTTTTTCCCTTTCGCTGTCCAAGTGGCCACACTCAGGTGTTTGCATCACTTTCCTGTGCAGTTTAGGAGTTTCCATCCAGGAGTCAAGTGAGGCTCGTTTTAAAAACACTGCAGTCAACTGCCTTCCACTCTCTACTCGCCTGCCTGTGAAAGTAATGAATGGAACATTGATTTAGGTGCAAGAAGACGGCAAAGAATTTTAATGAGAGTGAACGTTCACGTTTTCAGTGCATTTGAAGCTGCATGTTTTCAACCCTGAAAAACAAGCTGTGACAGAAAAGAATAGTTCAATCCATGTGCAAGCAATTATTTGAAAAACAATACAAATTGAGATGTTTAAATGACATATTAATGAACATGAATCAGTCTTAGTGGCACTGTCACAGACACACCTATTGTAACAATGATCTTTTTTCTAGGTGATACAGGGCAAGATATTAAAATGAGACGTAACTAAATTAAGGCTTGAAAACACTTTTCATGTACATTAGAACTAATAAGTTAAAATTCCAATGAAAAATGTTAATGTTACTTTAATTGACTTTAGAAAATTAATTCATTTAATACTCAGCCGTATACTTTCACACAGACTCACTGTCCTGCGTTTCTCTGTGTATGTGGTTGCTAAGAGCAACAAACAGCTCTCTGTTATTAAAAGCTGATGACTGTTTACCGCTGCCGAAGATGAAGAGCCCCTCTCGTCTTAACAAGGAGGAAGTCGGTGTCTCAACTGAGTTTAAAATGCACCTTGATAACAGTAAAAGTGGCTGAGGGGGGGCTCAGTGCCAACAGGCTGATGTTTACAGAGCTGTGGAGTGAAGAGCTTTGTGAGTGGACATTGTATAAAGATAGTTGAGGCTCATTTCTTTATGTGGCAGCTCATAACATCACCAAGTTGCGCAGCAGCTCTCCTCATTATGTATAAAGAGTATATATGCCAGGTCATTACATTCTTTATAGTCATGCATGCAAATAAAAAGTCTTATTTGTGTAATACTGTGTTTGATGAACGTCATCATTACACCATTACCTAAGTCACAAGTCTCTTAGAAGGATAAGGAGCTCCATCTAGTGGTCACTGTGGAGAATGGCCTTTCCGCGCAACATTTAATGGTTCAACATTTATATTCTCTCATCAAAACAGAGCAAAATGTTATCTTGACATCTCCACAGTGAAACATTCTACACATTTATGGAGGATTAAGTATAATTATATAATAATAGTTAGTTGCTGAACAGATCTTCATTAATTCTCATCCATGATCGGCCCATATGTAAACTAATATGATGTCTTTTTCCTGGTGAAACTACCAAGTAGTTCATAAAGAATGTCAGAGTTAATGCTTTAATAATATGCCATCCAGTTATATGATATATGATATAAAAGACAACCAAAAGGCCTGTTTGCATTGTAAAAACATTTTCTTTTGTTACCAGAAAGTTCATTCTAGTGACGATACAATTTAAAAATTTTATTTTACTCATAAAGGAGTATTTTAATTATTGGAATTACCATTTATGTAAAACAAATAAAGTTGTTGCCAGAAAAAGTATTGTTATATCGTATAGTTATAAGAAGAATGTTTTTGGTGATGGTGCTTAAACAAGGTTTCACTGCAGGCCTACTGTTGAGTAAAATCCTCCATCACTTCAAATTATAACTAATATCTTGATTAGCTCTGATCACTGAAGGATCTTTATCATGTCTGAAGTGGATCATAGTTATATCCAAGTTATGATATTAAAGATAACAGTACACTCTGGCTGTGAGGAGTATTATCAGTGAGAATTATCAATCTGATTTTCCTCTACAGTGTTAACACACTGGGATCATTCAGAGTGCATTATATCAGAGATGACATGTCAGTGATGAACTGAGGGTCCTGCTTTCTCCAACAGGAGACGTGGTATTGGCCGGGGGAGGTGAGTGCAGACGCTGTGGCGATGAGTGGCGTTCGCTGCTCCGGCACCGAGATGTCTCTGTCCCAGTGCCTGCACCACGGACCCCACCTCAGCTGCCCGAAAGGAGGGGGACGCAATGCTGCCGGAGTCTCCTGTTCTGAAAGTAAGACTTGCAAACTCCTTCTGGATGTTGTGTTATGTGTTCATGTGATATAGAAAAGTGGTTTCAGACCTGTAGAACCTAATGTAGGTGAATGGTTGTGCTGAGAAGTCATGGGAGAGATTGTCTCTGGCCCCATGTAAGATCCTCAACGCTGTATGGTGACAAATGACTGAACGAAGACCTGTTAAATTATTTTTCCACTTTTAATTATACTCTGATTTGAGCCTTCAACACTCAATAACAGTAGCTTAACATTCACACGAACATATTCAATTATTTCTGCCATTGGAGAAATTCTATCTTAGAAAGAAAAACATTTGCATTGCTGAAAAATCCCTCCTGAATCACGAGCAGAAACTGCTCAAGTGACAGAGCTTTTTTGGTGGCCAATAAAAGCCATTTCCCTGTTTTTCTAACTGTGTTTTTCTCTGTGTGGTATATTTTTCATTTGATCTTCTGTTCCACAGCGGCTCCTGACCTGGTGTTGAACCCTCAGGTGGTGGAGCAGACCACCTACATGGAGGACAGGCCCATGTTCATGCTTCAGTGCGCGTATGAGGAGAACTGCCTGGCCTCCGTCTCCAGCACGGCCCCGGCCAACTCCTACCGCCGCCTGCTGCGCTTCTCCTCCCAGATCCACAATAACGGCCAGTCGGACTTCAGGCCCAAAGCCAACAGAAACTCCTGGGTGTGGCACGACTGTCACAGGTCGGTGTCGCAGAGTACAGGGAGATTTCTGATAACTAAACTCCACAGCAGAAACAGTGAATACAACTTAAGAAACACTTAAGAGGAACACATGAGAACAGAAGCGTCAGTAAACTCATGGTAACACTGGGAAGCTGAGCAGAAGATTACTGGGAGGGATGAACGCTGTATGCCGACAGTTTCAGAAATCTTCGAAGCTATGGCAGCTTCTGTTTTGTCAAATTTTTCTTCACAATTTTATTATTTGTCTGAGGAAAATTTTGATAATCTTGATAGTCTAACCTTTTCACCATTACTTCACCTGACTTCCAGGTTTCTAAATTGGCTTCTAGAGACTAAAAGTTCTGTAGATACAGTATATGCACCCAAGCAGCGGCGTTCTCACAACTTAACCACTTGAACACCAAACACACAACTTCCCTCATTGTGACCACAAGCTCTTGCGTTCCATCTGAAGCGAGCTTTTACACACTAATAGGATTGGATAGGATAATAGGACACAGATGAAACACGTCAGGGCAGCGCAGACAATCACAAGAGAGGGAGACAAAGACAGGAAGTAAAACCACCAAGAGACATAGAGCGTTTAAAGAAGGGGGTTTGTTAAAGACATTCAGACTGTGTAATATTGGCAGCACAGAAAAGAAAAGCCCTGCTGTCACACACAGCAGTTTTTTTTTTTAATTTCATATAAATCACTGAGTTTGAACTTGATCATCAAGAGACTTGTTTTTGAACAATATTGGTTGATAATACAAGAATTAGGAAAATAAGAGAGAGGGCTGTGTCTACATTATGACGTGTTTCTGGAGCAGTTTTCCCCTCCATACATTCTGCTGCCCTGTAATTGACCGTGTCGTGTTCAAGCTAATGCCGCTGCAAACACAGCCAGGCCCACATTTTTGTGGTTCCTGTGTTGGCTGCAGGAACCGTTGATTGCTCTCAGCTTCACACAGCTTCCAGGTTTCACACGTCAAACCTCTGGCACCTCTGACAGGCAGAACTAGAGAGAACAGACCATTTAAAGAAGTGTTGTGCGTCACAGGTGCCTCTCAGCAGAGATTAGAGCTGCAGTCAATAACAAGTTCTTGATAAACTCTGTCTTCCCGTGTTTGTAGGCATTATCACAGCATGGAGGTGTTTACACTCTACGACCTGTTCAGCCTCAATGGAACCAAAGTGGCTGAAGGACACAAAGCAAGTTTTTGCCTGGAGGACTCGGAGTGTGATGAAGGTGAGGGTCACCACTGATTCCTGGGGAAATGTGGCACAAACACCTAGCCACAAAAATGGGCTTTTAAAGCTGCATCAACACATTTCTTTATTTTATTTGTTTCTTAACTTGTAATTGTTATCCAACAGACAATTATCACTGTGGTCTGCTGTTCCACTCAGATCTAAGGAGCTTTTTTTTAGCATCTTTCAGCTCTTTGTTTTGGTTTTTCTGGCCCAAAGCTTATCTGTTTGCTCACATCAAGCTTTTTAGCTATTTTCCTCGAAAACAAACTGATTAACTGAGCTCTACCTGCTCTGCACCATATGTCGGGCACGGTTAGTAACTAGCAGTTGTACAGAGAGGGACCTTTAGCTACTAAAGAGTCAGATAACTTTGATAGAAGTTGTTGGAGACCAAAGCAGAGGTAAAAGGAGAGTAAATATTGCTTTCATATTCATCAGCTGCCCCTAAGCACATAGTCTGCAGGGTGAATAAATGAGCTCTTTGCTGCCATTTTCACCATAACAACTGTATTGATTGTGATTATAAGATATAGATGAAATATTTCATTATTAAATTTGCAGCATATTGTGCTGGTCAAAATCCCCAAAATTACTGTCATCTTTAAAAATGATTGCAGTTTTATTTCTTCAATGCTATCTTTTATTTTGAAATGTCTCTTTGCAGGGATTGAAAAGAGGTACGAATGTGCTAACTTTGGCGAGCAGGGCATCACTGTGGGCTGCTGGGACACCTACAGGCACGATATCGACTGCCAGTGGATCGACATAACTGACATCAAACCTGGAGATTACATTTTCCAGGTAACGTTTCCTGTGGTCCTCTGACTAAAGAGCGAAATGATCCACACTCTGGTTGTACTGGCCTCACACATTCATCTTTGACTCATTCATCTCTCACAGATAGTAATCAATCCAAACTATGAAGTGCCAGAGTCAGACTACAGCAATAACATCATGAAATGCAGATGTCGATATGACGGCCACCGTGTGTGGATGTACAGCTGCCACAACGGTAAGACCTCGCAATGATTCAGAGGATTGTCTATTGTGCTCATGAAGAGTTGACCTTGTTCTGCTGTTGCACTGCAGGTCACCAGAGTGAATTTACATTAAATATACAAATGCTCTGAAAAAACACACACAACACCCCAATATATATATTAGTAGTTTATCTTGAAATGTAACTTTGGAATAAATGAAGATTAGTTTTGGCCTTGATTCCTCTCAGTGAAAATTACATTGAACTGTCCAGTTTAATAGCTGAGATCTGAGAACCTGCTGACATTATTACAAAGAAGTCAAACAGTGCAAGACACACAAATAGTCAGAGAAAATGACGACTGATGGTGAAACTGTCAAATCTGTAAACAAATGCAAAAGTAGTTTAGACTGTCATCCTGTTTTAACTTTGACCTACCTTACTAATCCTCGTTGTGCGCATGCAGGGATCGTTTTTAAATGATTGGGGTGCACTCACTTGGATTTAGCATGTGATCAGATGAGGTTTTTTGCCTCATCAGATTGTTTTCGCTGCGTTCCCAAATCATCACAACTATTTTAGCAGATGAAATGTAAATACAACTACTAGGAATAAAAGGAAAAATCAAATAAACCCAAATCCTATTAACATTTATGTCCTGACCAAAAATGTATTATAAGCATGTTCTCACATGTATCAGAGGTTTGCAGAAAACCTTAAAATCTCTCAGTTGTAACATTACTTCATTATATTGCACAATTCTTTTGAACACTCATATCAATCCATTCCACTAAAGATACTCTGAGCTTCATTATTCCACTCTGCAGTTAGTCTGATCTGTTCTGCTGCTTTTCTTGACTGATCTTAATGATGTAGTTATTATTAGTTGTAATAAATCGAATAATTTTATTATCTATTTTTAGGAAATCCAATTATCGTATGGGACTTTGGTCATCTTGAAATAGTTATGGAGGATGGGATTATGATCCCAGCCTCTGCTATACACGATTTGCAAATAAAGATTTAAAGACCTGGTTTATTTTTATTATTCAGCTCAATTTTATCCGAATACAATAGTGTAGTATTTCAATATTTACAGTAATAGGCACAACTGCAACCAAAATGAGACATGATTCCTGGATTCAATTTATTTATTCTGCTGAATGAAAGCATGTGTGGGCTCTCCCTGTATCACTGTATGTACAATGGAAGCTGCTATCAGATGTGAAACGAGGACATAGTGTGTGTGGTGGTGACTCTGTGTCTCTGCTGCTCTGCTATAGGTGGCTCATTAAGCACTGAAACAGAACAGACGTTCCCAGGCCTCCTCAATAACCAGGTGACCCACAGGTAAAGACAAACCAGAGGAAAGGAGGTGACCGGCCGTTCCCTCCAGCAAGGGAAACCACGTGAAGCCAGCAAACACTCTGCATCTCCATCAGCGGTGGCTCCCTCCTGCTCGCCCTGTCCTGCTCCAATCATCTTTTCCCTTCATCCTCGTGGCAGCAGCTTTCTTTGGCCCTCCACCCTTTATTTTTTCTACCAGTAGAAAGAATATTTGATTCCCCCTGCTGTCAAAACAAAGGCAGGTGCAACCACGCTAACACTTCCACCCTCCCTGGTTAACTTCAAGAAGCTCTCTATGTACCCTGTGTTGTTATTTTTGGAATGAGCGATTGAAATAAACCTGCTGGGAAGTGGCAGCTATTTAAGTGCAGCACTGACGTGCAGCAGTTTCTTTGTTCAGAGATCACCTTGGAGAGTTTGGATGTCTGTGTCATGTTGCCTGAGAGGGATCATCGATAACAACAGCGTAGGAAATAAATGCAGTTTTCTTCCACTTTTCAACAGTGCCTTGTACACTCTGATGTCAATATACAGTGAGGTTATGTTTCACAGGCAAAATGAGTGTTTCCTCTGCATGTCAGTTACTAAGATAAAGGGCACAATTTTACATTTTGTCTGTGCATATTAAACTGAGGCAAATGTAAGTCCTGAAATAAGCTAATAGCCCCGCTCATCACCAGCTGCAAGTGCTGCCTTTTCCAGCTGTAAGAGCAAGGCTAAAATGTTAAAGGTTTAGTGTGTAGAATTTAGTGACATCTGCTGGTGAATTTGCATGTTGCAGCTGAATACCCCTCACCTCACCCTCCCCTTCTAAACATGAGAGACAACCTTTGGTGAACTTCAGTTGTCATAAAAAAGTTTGTCTAGTTTCGACAACTGTAAAAAAAAAACATGGCGACCTCCGTAGAGAGGACCCGCCATGTTAAATATAAAGTATTTAAATATAAAAGGCCCATTCAAGGGTAAAGAAAATAACAATTTATACAATTGAGATGAAACACAGTTGTAAAAACATCACCATTATCATCATTATTTTATATTAGATTTCTGTCAATAGATCCTTTTCACCTAAATCTTACACACTGAACCTTTAAGTGTATTAAAGTGCCCCAAAGTATTTGTTTAAACAGTTGTAGACATTTATCGCTGATCTGCTTTGCCAAGTACATGGACCAGACTGGAGTCCGTGCATAGAGTGTGCAGTTCAAACATTTCAATGAGCAGATGTTTGTGGGGAGGTGGTGTGAGTCGGGAGAAGCTCTCAATTCATCCAAGAACAAAAGTATGTGAGCAAAGAGATTTACATTTTTACCTGCGCTGCCAGATATTGTAAACAGAAAGAAGCCAAATGTTGTGATTCAGATTCGGAGCACTGTCTCTTCTCTTCCCTGTCACAAGATTTGCCTCCAGACAATGTCTTGTTCTGACATGTTCATATCTATTTCCTCTTTCTGATATGTAGCAATGGTTTGTTTTTTAAGCTAATATGGGACTTTGTGTTTCTTTTCTCCTGTTCACTACTGTTTGAAATGTCCATATTCAGGATATTTTTGTTAAAAGAATATTTTTAAAGCTTACTGATTTGCCTCCGTGTTGTGCGCCTCACTGCATATTGTAATAATGTAAGTAGCCACTAGGGGAAGGTTTACAGCAAAACGTATATATATAGGCCTTTATACATACAGTTTATAGTGTCCAGCTGTGTTAAAACATGTCATGGACACAACACACTTCAGCCAACCAGACGCCAAACTGACTTGAAGCCTTTAACGACAGCATTGAAACACTTCTTTTTCACCCTGGTATAGAGTTATCTTTTAATTTAGACCAGCATTTTCCTCCTTTGTGGAAAATCTCATCAGAAATGTAATTACCCAAAATAAATTGAATGTTGAACTCATGCTGAAGTTAGACTGAGCAAATAGCAGATTTGTACCAAAATATCACACAAAGGGATACAAAGGAACAATTCACAAAGGTGAACAACATCCCCTTCTATTGTTTCTTATGCATTGGCTTGTGCTTGTATAGCAGTGTAACCTACATAGAGGTGTGGTCACAGCAGCATTAAAAAGAGCAAATTGGGTTGTGATTTCAAACAATTCAAAATGTAATAATTAGTGGATTCATTTGCTAGATAGAAGATAACGTGAATATTATTGAATTTTGACCAGTGAATTTGGGCTGTTAGCCGATAACAAGCAGTCTTGACAGACCTTAACTTTGAAGGGACAGAATGGCGAATAGTGTCTTAGCTTATTAGCTTTTATTTAACCTGCGTTTGTTGTAGTTTGAATTGCTCCAGAAAAGGAATCGTCTGCACACAGTCTCAATACAGGAGTCAATGGCACAAATACCTCTTTATTTCAACTTGCCCAGGCAAAGCTAACAAGATTTTTCTGACCGTCTACTAGCAGCAAAAGCTTTATCTTTCCTCTTTTATTGAAAAAAACATGGACGTAAAAGGCAGGGATTAATCATCAGAAAAATAGAGAGAATCAGTGGGAGATATGAGTAATCGTCACCAAGTTTATAAAACCAAATAATTCATGAAGATGTGAGATTATTTTTGCTAACACAGTTTCTGATGTGACCCGGTTTCACTGTTATCATGACTTACAGAGGAATCAGCCTGAGACACAACACAGAAGAAGACAAACTCTGAACAACCCATGTTCCATGCTCTCTTTTGCTGATATGCTAATATTTGTTTTCTTCATATCTATTGCATTATCTTGTTTGTGGTGAAATGCTAATATGGTATAATGATATGAGGAAAAGATATAAACATTTTCCCAGACATAGAAAAACCATATTAACATAAATTAACTTACCATTGAATAAAAAAATGAACTTTCATGGCCTTGAATATTTCGAAACATGTCAGCAAACGTTCGTAGGTTGATCTTATGGATTCTTCTGGTGAACCCAGCACTGCAGGGTAGATGCTTTCAGCTACAGGACGTTGTAAAACTTTCCAACAACACCAATAAGAAAAGGCTACTTGTCCTATTTGTGTACAAGCCAGTGGAAGCTCAGCTGTGAAACATGTGACCAACACGAGCACGGCCATTCAGAGGCTTTGAAAGCTGTTTCTCCAAAGAGCCATTTTACTTCTTATAACCAAAACAATAAAGATATCTTTAATATCACATTGATTTATGCTTTATGTCATTGTAGTGTGTCCAAAGTCTTTCCCTGACCGTTGCACAGTGTTGGCTCCACATGAGGCTCATAGGACTGGGCTACAGCGACGGGCCTTTAAAGAAGTGTAAAGATGTCAGCCAGTTCCTCTCAGTGCTTTATCTGTTCACAAGGAATTAGAAGAGCTGATTCCCATCTTTTCTCAACAGAGAGGACAAACAGCATTTCTTTATGTTTAGACATTCACAGTTGCAGATATTCTTTTTTTTTTCTTTTTTTCCCACAATTAAAAAAACTTTCTGTCATTCAGATTAGGTTTATATAATATTATTACAATACTGTACAATAATGTACGTGAATCCTATTTTATTGTACTTTTTATAATGGTGCTATCAAACTGGCCCTCTGTTTTCTGAGGGTGCAGTACGTTAGTATACAAACAGTATACTTGAACTGAGTGTAATGTGCTTTGTGTGTCCAAATATAATAAAGGTCAGAGTTACGGAGCAACCAATCCTTGCTGTTCAGTGGTCTTCTTCAAATGAATGAATGAATGAATTGTGCATGTGTGTAATTACTTACATCCCCCGACAGACTGTTGTTTATTATGAGAGCTGTAATTCACAGCTGATTGCTGATATTTCAGGTTGATGATTAATATCTTTACATGAAATACATGAAAACTGCATTTATACCATCAGATGACATGAAAATATTTGTGCAGTGCAACACAGAGGAATTCCTTAAAATACATTGTAACTTCACTGTAGCACACCACCATCTGCTGTAGTCGCTTAAGCCTCTGTGAGGAAAAAAAAGTTGCAATGGATTTCCCATGAGCCTTTTCTCCACATATGTTTACCTGGGGAAGGAGGAACAATCAGTTTTTACATTGCAACAGATGTGATTTTTTAACCCCGTCTGTGTCATACTCGCCCAAGAAGTGAGATGATGCACATGAGATCCGTGAAGCCGTACGTTTTTCACATTTCCTATAAAACCACGGAACGGTTGTAAATAAACATTCTCCTCCAAATGTGCTTCATTTCAGTATTTCATTACCAAACAATGAAAATGGAAGAGAGTGCACAGCCAAGCCTGACTGCCAATGGCTCTGTTTGTTTTCAGGGAAATAGCTGACTCATCTTGAGCAAGTAAAAAATATGTAAGCAGCTTATCACGTAAACAAGCTGGCATGCAGACACATGCGCAAACATAAAAGTCAGCATAGAATAGTTCAAACACAGCTTGCATAGGAACATACAATTACAGGGTATCTGCAGATCACGAAAAGTCTTTAAGCATTTAACTCTGTAAAAAGAATCATCAGAAGGTATTAAAAAGTCTTAACCTTAATCTATAAAAGTTTGAAATATTTTCTTTTGTCTTCTATTGAAAGGGATATTGGCTGTATTATGTTCTAGTTTATTAGGAACCATTGTTTTCCTGTGACCTACCACAAAAACCGCAAGTGAGGTTGACATGGCAGCGTGGACAGGAATCCTGCAAATACATAATAAACAGGACGTGAACTCTTTAACAATCCAAAACACATAGCACATAATAAATCATTTCAACATGATGTGAATTTCAAACATGAATCCAAGTAAACAAGTTCTTGTAAAATGATATTTTTAAATCGGCTTTGTCAGATTGAGGACAGCAGATTTTCAACAATCATAGAAATCATTTTACAGAGGTACAGACAGTACGGATCTTCCTCAGGAGACCTGAAAGTGCTCCAGGCTGAAACAACACACTGTATCTAGTTACCAGTAGTTGAAGAAGTGTACATACACATATTGAAGTATCAAAATGAGCAGTACAAGTATGAGTTCTGATTTTGGATTATTGCTGTTACTTAAGTATTACACTTTGTCCTCAAATGTAACAGTTCATTACATGAAATTAACTTCACTTATGTTATACTTTTATCCATGAGCACCACAAACAGTGTTACCACCAGACAGCAAATACAACCTCTTTTATTTAAGAATTACAGTGTTCTTAAACAGCATGACCATACTTACACTCAATATATTTACTGCAAATCTTACAAACAACAAAGTATGCAGATGTAAAGTTCATGATTTTGTAATTCTCCACCAGATGGGTCACCAGGAACAAGGGTGAACACATGAAATTCAACATACTGTACTCATTTTGAATATTTGATCCATGTTTTATCTATATCTATCTATTATCTATCTATTTACTATAACTCCTTTTTAAAAGCTGTACTTTAAAGTATGTTGTGGCAGTGTTTCTCTACACGATGATCACCAATCTGCTCTGGAATCATTGAGGAAGAGGATCGAGGAAAATTTTGGTTAAAAAAAAACTTGAGTGTGATTTAAAATTTCCTTCAGATCCTGAAAGTCCTGGAAGTAAAATACAAATGACCTTTGTGACCTTGATGGTTACCATGGCAAATGACTTCCTGTGGCGGGAACAAACAGGACTCCAAAATGGTGCAACACTGCTCTCTTGTGTTCAGAAACATGTACTGTAGTAGAACTGTGAAATATAAATCTTTTTATCAACACTTTCTCTGTCAGGGAGTGCTCGAGCCTATCCCAGGATGCATTGTGGTAGAAGGGAGCTGCACCCATAGGTTGCCACTTGGCTGCACCCTCTATAGTCGCAGGTCTTAC